GAGCAGCAGATTCTGCTGTGGATGAAAGAGGTTTACTAGTGACAGAGTGAAAATGGTATAAACACACACACAAAAAAAGTTTGTTTAAGGAACTGACTTTGCATAATGTAATCTAGCAACTAACCAAACTAAACAACTTTAGTTTCAGAAAGGAAATGTTTCCATGTCACAAAAGATACTTTGTGGGTCCTTCCCTAGGGCTCAAGTTTCAACACACTTCTATTTCAGGAGAGAAAGAGATTTTTCTTTACCGCTGTCAGAGACCTTCCTCCAAGTTCCTTTTGGCAAATATATGCTCCCAATTCAGGAAAGCTCTTGCTCTGGTATTTCTCAGTTCCAATTTTCCAGTTACCTCTTCACATTAATATTTTGTTTAGATGATTCTCTTTAAAGTTTTTGTTTCACTAGAAAACAAACAAGCAAACAAATAAAACCACACCTCTTTTAAAATAATGTAATAATAAAATCATTACTTTTCATTAATATAAGGGCATGGCATACTTATTCTTTCACTAAGATTAGTATTAGAGAAAAAACAATGATTTCTTGATTTCCCTCCAGTTGTTGATATATGTAAAACAGATAAACTGTATTTTCACCTAGACTTCATGATTTATTTATTATTTATAAACAAATTAAGTTCTTCTTCAGCTCACAATGCATAACTTTTTTTTTTTTTCCCAGAGTACAAGCAGATATAATAAACATAGATATGTCTTTTGCTGCTCAATATATTTTCCTTCCTAACTTCTATGCTGTGCAGTGTTGTTTCAGTTTGACCTATTACCTTCAGCCATTTCAGTATACATTTCTGCTGCGAACTCCAGCTGTTTGGCTGTTATTTCCCATACAGTAATGATGCCATCGATTCTATGTTATTTAAAACACAATGAAACAGATTTTTCTTTTAAACAAGTCTTCACTTTGACTGAAGTCTAAAACATGTCCTGCTCAGAGCTGCTTTGAGAGCTGTCTTTCTGAGGCTTAACATTGCACAAGACTGTATCCTGCCCTTCAGAAACCAGGTAAAGACTTTCTCATTGCTTTGGGTCACTGTTTATCACGAAAGGTGGTTTTGCCTGCTTGGGTGGAGTATTCATTAGTGTCTGTATAGCCTGCATTGTATTAGACACTTTTGTTAGTGTAAGTAATGTCCCTTAGGAATGTGATTTTTGGCAATGTTTGATACTGGCAACAGCCCTAACATGGACACAGAGCTGGCAGCATCAGTGCTTTTGCTGGTATAGATTATACTCAGGGTTCTGGAATTACTAAAAATAGCCCAAACTGCTTCTGCCAGTATAGCTATGCTATCAAACATTTTCTAGCATAGACCTTGCAGAAAACCATTTCTTACCCCTACACATTGGTTATTAAATATTCTTTCACTGGGAGTTAGTCACACTCAAGCTGTTACCCCATATGTAAACATCTTTGGCCAGGATAATCTCTGTCATGAATGCTTTTCTGCCACTGATGGGAGGAGAAAAAAAGTCTGTATTTGATCACGTGTGAGTAGCTTATTTATACACGGAATGGCCTGACATTGTCCTATTATTATTATTATTATTATTATTATTAAAATTTAAACACTCATACATGTGTACAGATAATATTGTAGTGGCCACAGCTAGTTTTCATGAAAATCATCATGCATGTAACTGTCATGTAGTTTGGGATTTATAATGCCTTTTTTCTAGTGGTACAACGAACGCAAGCTTCATATTTACTTTCTCATGAGCTTTAGAAACAACTCAAACAAATAGGATGAGAACAATATGTAATGTACGTTGAAACCCTGGTGTTCATCATTCTTCTAATAAGAACTGCAGCAAAACTGAGATCAGTCCAAAAAAAAAAGATAGTCTGCTTTCTGCCCAGCTATCCAGTATTTTGAAAACAAAATTTGTTTACAGACAGAACTGAACACTTTAACCCTGTAATCATTGCTGGGCTTAGCCATCAAAATATGCAATTATTTAAACAAACAAACAAATAGGAAAAATCAGTGAGATGGAAAGCATATACTGTAATCAAATAAGAAGTGAAGACGTGGCTGCCGCATCCCATATACGTTATGTTACATCAAGCCAGAACACAACTGTTTACACTTCCAAGCTTTCCAGGATCCTGCCACCACTACCAGTAAGGTTGCAAAAAGCCAAAGGATGTGGTTTGGTGGCAATCACACATGTCTAAAGGGAAGTAAGTATCCCATGATGTTGCTTGTGCCCCAGAGTTGGCAGCCTAAGCTGCTGCTGAACCGTTCTTCTGCCCTTGCTACACTAGTCAATGTTTTCACGTCAACTGACCCATCATGTTCAACTTTCATGTGGGGCTTCCTATGCCTCAAATATATTCCTATACTTTCCTATACCATGCATTCTCAGCTTCCTAACTTTCCATCTCAAAATTAACATAATAAGCCCCACTTCTTTCCCAAAATATTCTTTCAAATTCCATTGATTTCAGTGACAAAAACATATCTGAGAAGTGGATTGAGCTTAGCAAACAAACACACAAACAAACAATAAAGTGAGAAATATATTGCCAAATGAGCCTGTGAACATCTGCTATTGCTTTTGTCTCCGTGTACAGCATGTGGGTTCCCTCTCTACGCAAACAGTGTGGTCAATTAAACACACAAAATTGCTTACTAACTGTCCACATAATACTTAGCATTCCTAAAACCTAACAGTCTAAATGTGTTTTGTGGAAGACTTTGCTATGAAAATGAGTCAAGCTGCGGAAGACTACAGTGTCTCATCAAATATGTTCAAAGAAAAGTTGCAGCAGGTTACTATGGTCTGAAAAAGGAAGCAGATGGGTAAGATCTTTTTCTGGAGAGGTAATAGGGTTGCAATGTTGTTTTTTAAACACCTACCTTAGATGCCTTTAAGGTAAACTCAATTATGTAGCATGACAGAAGTAGAAGACTTCAATAAAAATGTGAGAACTGATCATTGGTCACCCTTGCACATAATACCCAGATAAACTCTGGTAATACTCAAGCCCTATTCTGAAGCCCAGAGGTGAACTGGAATTCAGTAGGTGCATTATGTGGGTCAGCAGGATCCCACAAAGCTACAGGTACAGATATCCTCTATAGTAATTTCCTAACTGAGAATCATATTAGATTGACTAAGGTTTGATTCATTCTTATGAAAAGAGAAGCTAAAAATAATCAGCCTAATCTTAACTCTTCCATTTAAGGTAAAATACCATTAATGTTTTTTTAAATTGATCTTTGAATCAAAAGAATGGATTGTCAAAAACATCTGGCTCTAAAAATGTTTCTACTAGGAACCAAAATTTCTTCTTTTAGCTAATAGTCTACCCAGAGAAATGAAGTCAGGTATTTTAGCTAAGTAGAAATTGTAAAGAACAATCTAAAATAATAGAAAAAGTTTAGAAATTTAGAGTTTAAGATACCAATATCTTCATTTCTAATTAAATGATATTAGTATAAAATGAGCTTCAACTGATTTGGGTGTGCCATTCTCATCAGTATTAGAGATACATGATAGACAGTTCCTACACACACACAAATGTGTGTGTATATATATATATATAACAAAAATTTAATATTTGCTTTCTCAACAGCTCCAAGTAAGACACCAAGCATCCCTGGAAATGTTTCCCATATCCTTCTTGTGTCTAATGGAAATTTATCTGAGCTACATATTCTATTTCCAGACCTTGAGTTTCTAAACTAGATCTGTATATCTTTACAGAAGCAGCAGAAATAAAAATCAATTAAGTTTTATGTAATAGTTTTAGTACAAAGTGAATATCCTTGCTGTGTTGATCAGTAGTACTGCTCTGACCTCCTGCCTCTAAGAGGACAACTGAGCGCTCTCAACAGCATATCTAGTCAATTAGAGCAGTTAGAGATGGGGCATCTCTTTTTTTCACCTCTATCACAGTCAACACCTCAGTTTGTTGTATGAAATAGAAGAGGTTCCCACCTTAAAACCCCCCGAAATCAGGTAGGAAAAGCTGTTTTCTCGATTAAGGGGTGCGGGAGAAAGTGCTGCATTCTCTGAAGGAATTGAAATGTTGTAGGTTCTGAAATGGCTTGACCCTTTAGTAGAAATGATGTCGGCACCCTTCCTGATAATACTTTTCCCCTTCATTTTTCCCAGATGAAACTATTTGCTGAGTTTGACCCCACTTTGCTACAATGTTCCTCACTGAACAAAACCACACATGTTGGCAAATAATAATGTGTTTGTTGGAAAATGCCCTCCAGTACTGACATCTTCTCCTCAATAAAGGAAAAAAAAAAAAAAGGATTTTGCTTTTCTCCACCTTTTTTTATCCTGTTGGCTTACACTTCAGCTTTTTGGAGGCAGGCTTAGAAAGTATATACTTATCAAAGGAGAGCTTCAGCTGTGAATCTTAAATGCCACAAAAACACTGCTAGCAAATAAAAACAGGATAGGAAAATCATTTCTTCTCCAATTCCCCCGTGACAACCCTGCTTCAAAGGTCACTTATCTTATCTCTCTGTGGCTATGATCTTTGTCCCTCTAATCCTACAAAACTGCTGAAATGAATATTGCAGCACCTGCAAATGTTTAGGAAAACTTACTGTTTCTTCAAGGTCACAGAGCCTAAAAGGAAATATTTATCCTTGAATGTCTCTGCCTCACCTCAAAGGTAGATATCTTCTCAGGCCATTGCCACCCCTTGTTCATTTGCTTCCTCACACCCATTTGTCTGATTACCTTACATGCAGAGAGATGCCCAAACCGGTCCTACAGGTTCATGCGATTTTGGTCACTGTGTTCATTGCCTGTAAATCTAATTATTTCTAGCCTCAAATTTTATCAGAAAGCCATCCTATGTCCCCCTCCCAGGGTGTTCCACAGACCTGTAATGTGACATGAAAGTACAAAACCTTAACCATTTTCTAATGTCTTATAAGGAACGCACATTTCCTTTTTCTTTTCCATGTGTACCTATCTCTCCTCCCCAAGGCGAAACTCCCACACCACCTCTCCAGGTTTCAGGTGTAATCATAAACTAGCTGAAGGCAATTATGGGTAATGTAGTTCCTTCACTCGCTGCCATGTGTTTGCACAAGTGGTGTCAGGTACCTGCTAGACTGCAAATTCCAGCAGGCGCTGCTCAGCACCCCTGAGACAGGCACACGCCAGGTGTGCTCTCAGCAGCTAACCAAGCCCTCAGCACGCTAGAATTTTTCAAAGCTGGAGCAAAAAATAGGTGCTCATTCAACAGTGCTGATGTCCTGAGCCACGGCTTAATTTGGATCTAGGAGAAGGCTTGTTGTTTCCAGAATGGTGAGTTTGCTTTTCATTTTTTCTTTCAATATTTCTTTTTGTTATTGCTTCTGTTTAAAATACTTTGGAGGGTCTGAAAGACTGCAGTAATTATTAACCTGGTACTAATGCTGCAGTCTGTTGCCGTGTTTCTGGACATAGCTAGTGTCAGGTACCTCTGGAGAAGGTGCAGAACCTGTGTACGTTTTGTGTTGTGTGATATTGTACCCTAGGATGGTCTGGGATGTTTGGAGGAGGGCACCGTACTGGCTAAGTGCTGGTCATTGCCTTTCCTGGGAGCATAAAAAATGGTGAACCTCTTACAACTTTAAATCAACTGATTTTAAGCTGGTCTTCTGTGTCTTTCTTCTTTTGTGAAATAAGACACGGCTGGTGGGTGGGTGTGCATGTGTAGTGCTTTTATTTACTAATTTATTTTGCTGTTGCCATTCAGTTCTGTTTTTCTTTAAGCATTATATGAACTGAAGTATTACTGTTAATGTATGCAGAAGTTGGACTGGCCCCTAGCTTTGTGAGTTAGAGATCTGGAACATGCAAAAGGGTACTGAACACCACATCACCATCCTCTCTGTTAACAAGGCAGCAATTAGAAATCAGAAAAATAGAGTTTAAATAGCACATATACTCCTGACCTTTAACATATGCGTACTATATTAAAAAGATCATTGAAAGGTAATATCTCTAGGCTAAATGTAGTCAAATGCTGACAGACCTTGAACAAACTCTATTTATGGCTAAAAAATGACAAGGAGAACTGGCTAGTCTGTTTAAAAAGAAAAATACTCCCCCCTCTCCCCCCCATAATAAACAAACCCAACAATACATTTAAATGAAAGACAAGGGAGAAACAGTTCTTGTTCTCTTCCCACCTGCTGTTGCTACTCCTCTAATAACACCTCTGCATTGATACAGATTTCTTTTTTAAGGGAGACTGCTCAAAATCTTAAGAACTTGAGAATAATTTCTGGCTGCCTTCACTATGAAATGGCAGTAGGTATCCTCCTAAGTAAGGGAGGGAAGGGATCATTATTACCGGGTAGATCTTGGAGAGGCACATTACCACATTGGCAACACTGTCCCTAGCCTAAAACCATGTATTTGACAGAGGTTAACGTGAAACACCCCAATGCAGAACTTACACATTGAAATTAGTTGCACAGTGTCTGTGTTGGTGGGTGATATACAAGGGGCTTTACAGCACAAGTGCAAGCTGGGTATTGTCTTCCTGGAAGCCATAAAATAGTGTTTACCTTGGGTACATTAAAAACAAGGAATATCTATAGTCATATCCACTAAACTATTTATTGCAACGATATCCTCTGGGAATGTGTTTAACAAGCTAATTATATGTTGCAGTAGAAGGCTTATTGAGTATTAACATGTTTGGTTTAAAATGTTCCTCTTCCTGCCTCTCTCTCTCCCCCCTCCCATCTCCCCCTGCCTCTGCACATTCTCCCCACCCCCTTACAAGAATGTTCAATTGGGTTCAGTTGGACTCTTTGCTGTTATTCAGCTTCCTTTTAATTCTTGATCATAGTGACTTTCAACTTGTGGCCAAAGAATATCTGTTTGGTGGACTGTATCTGAAGGGTTTCTATGAAGGTATCCTGTGGAAGGAAAAATTTTGAAATTCACTATGTCTCAAGTCAGATGCCTTTGCTTTCTCTTTTCCACAGAAGATAAACTCAAACTTCTTAAGAAACCACTCATGTTCATGCTGTTGTAAACTTTGTCATGAGTCCCTGCAGGGGAAGTTCACTCTTGAAAAACGAATGCAAAATAAGTGGATGAAACACCAAAACACATACAGTGGAGGAATATAAGTCGTGCTAATGTAAAAGCCAGAAGTCTGAATTCAAAGAACTGATCAGTCAACCCAATCTGATCGTCACTGAAGGATCTCCTGTATGAATAACTGAGCTCTCTGGCAATGGCAGCTGAGGTATGCCAGACTTCTGCACCACAAATTCTATTTGGTGTACTTGAATGAAAAACAAAACAAAACAAAAATATATATATAGAATAAGCATAACTCTGCCTGGAACTGTAGGAAAAGAGAGAGGCTCTTCTAAGTTACCTCCCAGATCCCATGATGGGAAATGGAATGTGGTTGGAGAGGCAAAAAGGAGCTATGTCAACAATATCCCTTTCCTGATATTTCCATGCTCTGCTGCTACCACAATAAGCTTACTCTAATTTGACCTTACATCTTTATAATTTCTACTTCTTGTGTGCAAGCCTTCTCCACTCATGCCTTACTCTCTTTCTTGAATTCTTTTCAGCCCTTCTTCTTCTACTCTGTATTATCAGTAGACAGTTATCTCAGAAACTGAACTCCAGAGTAAAGTTGAGGCCATGTACTAATATAAAACATATATACTGTTGGTTTTGTAATATTTTCCCATATTTTCATCTGTTTCTAAGTATAACCCAGTATCTTATCTGCTTTCTTGGTATCTCTGGACTTCAAGAAAACATCCTTATTAAACGGTCCAGGATCATGCTTAAACTTTTCCTAAGAAACTACAGTTAGTTCAAAACTCAATCTACATGAATAATTTTAAATGGCTCCTCCAAAAATGCCTCCTTATGTTCTTATATGCAGCAAGATTAATCTCACATTATCCAGTTTATTTAGATTTCTGGTAGTTATTTATATTCTGTCGTAGCATTAGTAACTGAAGTAAATTCATTTACTTATTTATTGTGAGCAAATGCTTTTACTTCACTTTTCACGGACCTTACCTTCCCACTCTCAAGAACTTTATTTAAAGTGCCTGCTATGTGAGCATAGGTACTGATGTACCTGCGAAGGAGTGTTAGCAAAGTTGAATGAGGGTTTTGAACTACTAAAAACTTCAGCAAATTGAAACAAAGTCTTATAGCTTGCAACAAGTGATGTTTTGGATTCTTGGTGATGGGGAAGAAAGGCTTTTAGATTTGGATGTGTAGAGAGGAGTCCCTTTCCTGCATGAATGACCTTCACTGTTTGAGACAGTCTGCTCAGGAGGAAGCCAGCTGATAACGTGGTTGAAAGTTGCGTTATGTAGCTTTGGGTGCTGCCTCCCTCCTACTTTGTGGGTGACGTGAAGGATGGATTGCACTGGAAACCCAGTGAATATTCTGGCAGCCTAGAAGAGGCTTTTCTAAACCTTATGCTCTTGTGATATGTACTTACAAAAGACTCTGGATGACAGTTATTGGAACCCTAAATGTAAACAGTTGAATCATCCATTTTCTTTAGCTTGCTCAATGGGAAAAAGACCTCTTTAAGTTATCAGAGGAGCTCTGTGAATCCAAGTATTTAATAATCTTTGTATTCCTCTTTACAACATACCTGTGAGATGGGGAACTGCCATTTTACTTTCGGTAAAGTCTTGCTTTACATTTAAGTTGCTCTAATGGCTACCTGCTGTTGAATGGCATAGTCCCACTTCTTGCACCTTGCCATTACTTCCCATAGACCAGCACAGGTGAACACTGACTCATCAGTGCCTGGGCCAGCTCACTCTAAGACCAGATAAGTACCAGTGTTGATGCAAAGGAGGAGTAGGACTGCTGTTTTCTGGAGCAGCCAGACAGATGGCATCCCCAAGAGCAGGCTTAGCCTTAATCACAGTGCTGGATGAACTTGTCTCTTGCCTAATGTATTTAAAAACTTGGGGGATTTGACACTAGCTCTTATCCCAAGCGTGTTCTGAATGAATTCTCTAATGTTTCTCTTTCTCTGGAAGCATATAATACTTATCTGTTTTAAGTGGGAGCTCACAATTATGTAACTTAATTCTAAAATATTGGTTCTTACTTTAATTTGCATTGACCTCTAGTTAAAAAGTAATGGTATTAATTCAGTTTGCACATTAATTTCTAGTCCAAACTGCCAACAAAATTGCTTGTCTGTTGTGCCAGTCCTCTTGCCATCACAACAAAGCAAAAAACTCCCTGCCTATTGGCTGTATCACAGAGCATTCAAGTAATGACTTGATGAGTTGTTGGAGTTCCCACCTGAACTTAGGTCTGTCAAGAACAAAAATATCACCAGTAGACTCAAAGCTTTTGACCTATTGCTGGAAGATCCTACACCTTATTTCAATCCTATAACCTAATTGGGATCAAACCTTGGGTATGTATTTACAAGGAAAAGAAACTGTATTTCTACATACGGTAAGCTGCGTAATTAAAAGGAAATGACTGCCTGAAATAACTAGGGGGAGGGGTGAGGCAGCTGGCAAGACTTTTAGGTGATTTGTTTTTATTCATAGGTGATCTCATGCAATAGCAACTCTGAGCCCTGGGGTAAAGCCTGCAATTCAATGATCATCTTTTTGAATTCCCTCACTTTGATCCACTAGCCCTAATTTAACAGATCCTCTCTAAAGGTGGGGGATGCGATACAGCAAGGAAACAAGAACTCTCAGTTTATTCATAGTACTGTCCTAATTTCTGCAGCATAAATTGTCACCTGTTGCTCCGTGTGAAATTATAGTGCCATGAAACTGAGTAATAGCTGTTTGTTCTTCTGCTCAGTGCGTGCATGCGTGCTTCCCTCTCTTTGTTGTTGTTGGCTTTCCATTTGAAATTTGGTCTGTTTAATTTGCTTCCCGTAAACTGTATACAACTATCAAGTGAAATGAGCAATGTGACAAATACATTTGTAAAAATGCATTAGCTTTCCAAGGCAACATCTAACAATTACCAGCAGAAGCAGCTGAGAACTGAGGGTGGGAGTGTGGAACAGCTAAGCACAACCCAAAACAAATCCCTTGGCTTTCCATGCCTATGACAAACTACAAGCTGGCAAGGGGAGAAGCTGCCCAGTCCTTCAGCTAGATGGTACATAGGCCATGGATTACACTAATTGAACAAGCCCCAGTGTTAAACTCCATATAGCTATATGGACTGTGGGAGAAGCCAGCTTGGCTTTCCCAGTAGGATAACAGCTTATTTATTTATTTATTTATTTATTTATTGGTGTGCTCAGAAGCATCTGAGGGGGCTGC